GGAACTACTAGAGGTAAGAGACACGACATCAAACACATTGGACTCCATTGGATACACACGTTCAGATGCGTCGATATATCTTTCTATTGATACTGTAGCCATGTATCTCCGACATAGTCCTAAGCGAACCAAAACATAGGCCTAAGCAAGGCACTGACCATAGAAATGGGGGCGGGGGCACGTCAACAGAATAAAATCAAGTTTTACCTGAGCGACTGAGTGTTACAAATGTTACAAGAAAAACCAGGAAACTCCAAACAAGAGATTCCAATGTGTTTCACGGAATCTGTTTTTTTTTGAACTCCAGGAGTTCAGCTAATGCCTCGGAGATCATATCAGTGCTGCCTTCCAAGGCAGCAAAAAAATCTCCCGGACTCCTGGACTCTAACGCTTCGAACTAACAAATAACAACTCTATGAAAGCCCTTTCTATAGCAGGAATAACACATGGATATTTTTCAATGGTTTTCCTTTATAAACCATCCAGCTATTGGCGTACCCCCATTTATGAAAACCCCCAGAAACCAAGCATTTTCATTGAGGTCCCGGCTCCAACCAAATCATCCTGGCACAAAAATTGCTGAGGTTGGGTGTCAAAATCACAAAGTACAAAAAAAAATAGAAAACCATCAGATGATTCAAAAATCTAAAATACAACCTATTTTGGGGGAAAAAACCGACAAAAATGGAACCCCTTCATGATGAGGGTGCATTCACGGGTCCACATGCCAAATTTTGGTTCTGGTTCAAACTTGGACGGTCGCAAAGTGCAGCCTCCAAAGCTTTGAACTTCTCCGGGCCCAGAGCCACACGCCGAGCCTTGGGAAAAACGGTGCGCAATGATGGTGCCGTAGCTGGGTGAATTTATGGAAGCCCACAAACCCATTGTCACCAGTGTTGGTTTTGCCCAAATGAAGAAAATTACAACCTAGAATTCCGGCCGACGGCACAGGGGAACACGCCGAGGAAAAAAAATTGTTGGGTTGCAAAAACGACAACAACAGCGACACCAACGACAACAACCAAAACAAACACAACCACAACAACAACAACCACAACCACAACCACAACCACAACCACAACCACAACCACAACCACCACAACCACAACCACAACAACCACAACAACCACAACCAAAACCACAACAACAACCGCAACCGCAACCGCAACCGCAACCACCACAACCGCAACCACAACCACACAACCACAACAACCACAACAACCACAACAACCACAACAACCACAACAACCACAACAACCACAACAACCACAACAACCACAACAACCACAACAACCACAACAACCACAACAACCGCAACCACAACGACCACATCTACCACAACAACCACATCAAGCACAACAACCACAACAACCACAACAACCGCAACCACAACGACCACATCTACCACAACAACCACATCAAGCACAACGACCACAGCAACCACAACGACCACAACGACCACAACGACCACAAGGACCACAACGACCACAAGGACAAGGACGAGGACCCAGGACGACGACGACGACGACGACGGCGACGGCGAAACGACCCACAACCTGCAACCAAGAACCAACAACCAACGACCAACAACCAACAGCTTCGGGCCAACAGCATCTGGGCGCAGAAAAATTATCCGGCAACTCTGATGGCATCGTCGGTGTGCGATGGCATCATCGGCGTGCGGATCTCTATAGTACAATGACTGAAGTAATTCTGTCAATTTGATGGACTTGGGTCCCAATCTTTGGGCCCAATAACTTGCTTCGATCTCCGACTGTTTTGCCAGAAATCATCCCTGAGGTCAAGGCTAACCATCCAGTAACAGGACCCATGGTCTTTCTCATCATCTTGTTGGTGTTTTGGCAGTAAGCGTCCTGCAACAAATGTGTCGTCTACATCAAGCTGTTTCACCAAAGTGGAACTCAAACCGCAGATAAACTGGTTCGTGCCTGTGACTTCAACCACTAAGTCAACAAACACCATCCACATCGGACCGGTCCCGCAAGTCCGCCCAGACCGGCAGTGTCTGCAGGTACTCCACTACCTGACGCGTAACCAGCTGGGGTCGTGACCTGGGGATGGCTGGGAGAACCTAATGAAACCACAAATGACCGGTCATAAGAATGAAATTCGGAACACACACCCATTCATGTAATAATCTTCTTTCAACAGTTGGAAAATTTTATAAGCCTCTTTCTTTCAATTCTCTCCTCTTGGGGAAGAGGAGGGTCGGTGTGTGGTTTATCACCTTTACCTTGATCAGCCCAGGAACCGCAGTTGGAGAATAAGCTGTGCATAAACGCGTGTGTAAACGACTGAAAGCATCCCATATATTATTGTGGCTGAACTATCAATCACCAACCTGATATAAGCTGGTTTTTAGCTTGTTCCCCCTACAACGTATCATTTGTGGTCAGGCTGTGATGTCATTGCAAATCAACCGAATATGCGGAAGTGTCCAGACATGGGGTATAAGGTATAAGCCATTGTCGCAGGAAGTTTAGAAGTCAAACCTCCGACAATATGGACAGGTGGGAAGAGTCAGAGAAGAGAAGAGAAGAGAGAAGAGAGAAGAGAGAAGAAAGAAGAAAGAAGAAAGAAGAAAGGCAAAAGCAGAAAGAAGATCAGAGAAGAGAAAAGAAGAGAAAAGAAGAGAAAAGAAGAGAAAAGAAGAGAAAAGAAGAGAAAAGAAGAGAAAAGAAGAGAAAAGAAGAGAAAAGAAGAGACAGAGGAAAGACAGAGGAAAGAAGATGCAGGTGCGCGGAAAGGTAGAAAAGTTGCGATTCACTGTGATTTTTCTAATGATTTGTGGCTCCAGAGGGTCGAAAAGTAGGCTCGCTAGCACTTTTTGCCCGCTGGGAGTTTTGTGTATAATATCTCTATGCCGTCTCATATAAGTCGGTGGCATGCTTTTCGTGACTGCAAGGAGTTTAGCATGTTGAAAAGTCACCCTTAGTTGCCAAAACTTTGTCCACTAGTTTTCCACCGATTTTCCTTAAATTTTCTACTAGTTTTCCATTCAAAGCTCCGACTGCCAGGAAAGCCTGTCCAAAATCAAGCACAAGTCTTTTTCTTAGGGAACTGTATGTTGCTTGGTCTGTGCTTGGGCGCTATGTGCAACGCCTGAATGAAACATGCTATGACCAGCTCTTGGGTCATTGCTTGGGTCATTGCTCCTGCACCCGTTGCATGCATGACCTGATTGTCAGGAAAAGTCAACCCTTCAGTCCAAGTTGGAATTGTCCACGTGCGAACGCATATTCTATCATTGACGCAAGGTCATACCACAACGAACCAACTGTGCTGATTTAATTTTGTGATACAAAGTGAAACTTTAATAGACTACATACACGCCCACATTCGTGCTCTCATTGGATTTCGACAGCCTCAGCCGACAGAGCAACAAACAGACCCTCATGAGAGCCAAAATTTGTCACTGTGACCACGGAACTCCATTACCGTCAAGCCACTGCAGGTTGCCAAGAAAGCTGAGATTCACACTCACGCTGATGGTATCGTGAAACCATAGCAGTCTGACCTGAATGCGAGGCGGCAACAAAAATACATCAGAAAGTTGTAAACAATGACATCAATCTGAACCGAAGCATTGTCAAAAGCTGCTCAAAACAAAACACCAAGTGCCGGGCTTGGACGTGCCACGATTGACTGGTGCTTCTTCATCTTCCAGAGTCCAATTTCCATCCTGCCGTGAGCAAACTTGAAGCACTGTTTCGAAAGGTCAGGTTAGAGCGGTGGATGGTGGAAGAAAATAGCGAAGCTGTCCTTCAGGCTGTAGATGTCAATCTTGGACTTTGCAATGGACAGTTTCTCCGTCTTTTCGATTGCCTGAAGCAAATACCGGTCCGGTCTGAGGAAGGGGCGAACTCGAACGAGGTCTCTAAGCACTGGGCTTCTTTGAGGTCATCAACCTCAAACCGAAGCAATACCGAGCCGTCGACTGCGGCAACTTGGATGAAACATTCAAAAACACTTGGTAAGTAAACCTTGCACACATGATGGAGTGGCTGAGCCGACTACATCGGAAACGTTGTTAGATTACGTGAAGCATGACAAGCCCGCAAGAAGGGCATAGCCAAGTTAAGGTCATTACGTTCGCCAACTCTCCCTTGACTTGGAAAGCGTTGCCAATCTCCTTGAATGTTCCACCGTCCTGCAATTTCAAACAGGCGCTGGGCGAGTGAACAAACCATTTGCATCCTAACCTACCGCTAGTCAGAGGAACCTCGAAAAGGAACAAAGGCATAAACTGTTGCATTGACTTTTGCAAATTACAAAGCTTTTGTTTGATGCTTGAGTGGGAGAAATGATGGAACACAACCCTACTTTTATTCACCAATCAACACCGCTTTTTGCACAGGAATTTTGCAAAGGAACAAAGAAAACGAACATAGGGATGTAAAAAACAAGGTTGCTTCTTTAACACTTGCTGTATCACTCAAAAGGTGAGATGTTGAGGTGGGAACAGACAAAAGGGCACAGCAAAGGAACAAGGGCATGGCAGAAAAACATACAAAGTCTTTAGTCTAAATCCTGTCTATCAATCGCAGGAAGATTATTGGAACATATGTTTAAACAAATCCTGAGGAATGAACAACCCTGCAATCTTGTCCCCAAAAGTCCTGAACCATACCAAGTTCGTAGCATGACAGTGTATTTTCTTGCACAGTGGACTTACCCTTAATCACGCTTTTAGTTTGGGGCATGGCTTTTCGATAATAAAAGTTCTTCCTACACCTGACAAAAGGGCACAGCAAAGGAACAAGGGCATGGCAGAAAAACATACAAAGTCTTCAGTCTAAATCCTCTCTATCAGTCGCAGGAAGATTATTGGAACATATGTTTAAACAAATCCTGAGGAATGAACAACCCTGCAATCTTCTCCCCAAATAGTGCTGAGCTGTCTCAAGAACATAAAATGACACAGTATTATTTTGCATAGCGGGCTTACACATAATCACATGTTTGGCTTGGGAGGAAAGTTACATTAACACCATCACCATGTAGTTTGCTGCTGAGTTGGCATAGACATGATTGTTTAAATCGTAGAACCCAATACAATAGTGCTTCCTTGGTGGAGCAACTGACTGGCACCGGTCACTCCTGTCCTCCTTTAGTTGCCTCACCCACACTGCTCCAGCTTGTGGTCTGGTGATGCCTTGCGTTCAACATGTTCAACCGAGAAGGGATGGAGAAAAAATGGTTCGCGTTTCCGATAAATGCTCCTGAAAGATTGAGAAACAAACTGCAAAATGACTGGGGCTCATAGTGACGAGTGGTTGCTCCAAAGGAAAAGTCTTTCTTTGAAGTCCAAGTTGCTTGGTTTCACCGTGTCCACCATCCGCTGGATGCACTTGCGTGCGTATGTAGTTGGTGGAATTAAAACCCGCACAGCAGCTGGGTCTCTGAACATATCTTCCTTCAAGGCTTCGTCAAAGAAAGTAGTGGTCTGTCTCTCGATGATGGCGCCGAAGTTCTCCTTGGCGATGATGCGAGCACCCTTCTGGCTCTCCCTCTCCGCTTCTGCAGCGCCACCCTCTACTTGCGACCATCCTTTCTGAGCCAAGTTCTCCATGTGCTTCCGAGTGAGCGGGTCGCCACGAGGTCACCTACCTCGGCATTGCCTCGGACGTTGAAGGGGTCGAAGAGCCTCTCCTGACCCAACTCGAATTGCTGACGGAGCTTGTCGACCGCCTGGTGGCACAAAAAAACGTTTCCACCGAAGGTCTCATAGAACTCCTGCCAGCCCACAACACAAAAGCATTTGCCATATTCCGATTTCACATGGTATTGCACGCAAACAGTTCCGACCCATGCATCCCGTGATAAACTGATTACAAGAAATTCAGCAAAACAAAGAACACCAAAATTCGACCCTGTTTTACACGAGCATGAGCTAACAAAAGCAAGCTTTAGAAAAGCACTGTGCAAAGTTGCTCATAGCTCCTGTGCCAAGTCTATGAGACAAACCCCACTCTTGCAGCAAAAAAGCATAGGCTTCTCTTCAACCTCCGGAGCTACAATCGTATTGAGAGCATCATACTTGTTGAAGCCAAGAGCTTGTAGTCCCAATGGGAAAGCATAGTCAGAGGCAACCAGGATAACAGACGCTTTCCCCTGCTCCTTTGTCAGCGCCACAAAGGTTGCGAGCGCTCTGTAAGCTGCTTCTCTTCTGCCATTCCCATTCCCACCGTTACCATTGGGAAAGGCGATGTTGGCTTCATCAACAATCATGACTGGAACCTTCTCTGCAGCCATTGTTGCCGCAACAAAAGCCTTGATGAACTCCTCGGGCTTGGTGATGTTGAGAAACAAAGAGAGAAGAATTTCCACTGCACCCTCTCCTATCTCCTCATCGTCACTCTTCTTTAAGTTCGCTTTGCCAAGTGCTCCAAGAACCGCAGAACCGGCGGCAACCAGCCGCTCTGCCCCGAATGGCAAATTCTTTGCAGTTCGCTTAGCTTCTTCTTGCAAACATTCCAATGCATCCGTTGACTGGGCTTTGCTAGGGAGACGCATATTGACGTAGAGCTGCACAATTTTGGTCTTTCCGAGGGACTTGCCCCCAATGACAAGGTGCAAACCAGACTTTCCCATAGCCTGACGAAGTTGCATGACATCTTGAACTGTATCACAATTTAGCTGAGCTGAAGTCTTTTCAAAAATGGACTGGAAAAACCGTCTAATAACCGCATAAACTTCCTCAACCATACTGAACCTCTAAACTCCAAACAGAATTAAAACAACTTCATGAGAAACAACGGATAGCTCAACCGCACTGCCTCATTCAATGTCTTCACAAACTCCTCTCGCCCAGCAACCGCGTCGCTCTTTCGGTAGAGTTCTGCTCTGTTGCTCACATCTTTCAGGTATTGGGCGGGACTGATGCCTTTGTTTTGGGCGCTTTCCTCTATCTGCTTTGGGATGCTGAAGGTCAAATTGCAGCAAGACGGAGACAAGAAGCTGAAGCGCTTCTCTTGCAAGCCATTGCGCTGAAAAAAGGGTCGCAATCAAGCAATCAAAACTGAGTTTCGATCGCTGCTCTGTCAACTTCTTAGGAAGAGTTCTTCGTTCTGGCTACCCAACACTGTTTGTTCGATGCGTTCTGAATTGAGCCCTCTAAGACTGAGCTGCGCGGCATGGGCTGTTGCCCCGGAATTCATCTGCAAACGCTGAGCCGAAAGCTTGAAACTGAACATCAAACCCAGACGCGCATGGAAGCATGCCATGTTTGCAAATACATTTCAACGTGCTGACGCAAGAAATCCACAGGTTCACCCTCGTTTGCGTTTTCCTGCAAGCTCCACGAGTGGTTGCGGGCTGGAAATCCCTCATCGGTTTTGTGTTTTGAGCAAGTATGTACATACTTAAAAATGCGTTTGGTATTTTTTGGCTTTGGGAGTTGGGGTTCCGGCTAACGAGGCTGGGCTCTCAGGAAATCAGCCACCGATTTTGGGGAAATCCGTCACCGACTTTTGGGAAATGCGTCACCGATTTTGGGAAATGCGTCACTGATTTTGGGAAATGCGTCACCGATTTTGGGAAATGCGTCACCGATTTTGGGAAATGCGTCACCGATTTTGAGGAAATCCATCGCCGATTTCGGGGAAATCCGTTACCAATTTTGGGGAAATGCGTCACCGATTTTGGGGAAAAGCATGCGCCTTTTTTGGGAAAAACAGGCTCCGTTTTTGGGACAAACAAGTTCGGTTTGGGGAAAAATTGGTTCGGTTTGGGGGAAATTGGCTCGGTTTTTGGATTGGCTTGGGACAAAGCTCAAGTCTCACTGCTTTGAACGCTAAGCATGTTTGGGTTTGGATTTTTGAGGTTTTAGGACTGGGTGTCACTAAAAATAAGTCAACTGCTGGGAAGTTGGAAGGGTAAAATGCTCAAACCTATAAACTTGGATGTCGAAACTATTTTGGGGGTTGTGTTAGGGACTTGTATGAGATGCCACAAGCACAAACTGATATAGAAAGTTCCTATTGAGAATAAAAATACTTAAACAAATATTAAGATATATAACTAGCTATATATATACACAATATGCCTTGTTACTTTGTAAGTAGCGGAGTTGAAATCCCGATGACAAATCAAACCTTTGACTTTATTTGGAACGGTTTTGGCAACAAAGAACTCATTGACAGCGAAACATCTTCATCTGAAGAAAGCTACAAAGCAAACTCATCCGTTAACAGGGACACCAATGCTGAATGGAGAAAGCAGGAGGACGGATACTACAACAGAAAACCGAACGACAAAAAGTATTTCCAAAGATATTACCAAGAGAGAACGAAACAACAATGCGTATGCGATATATGCGGTTCTGAGTTAAGTTGTAAGTCAAACTTGGCAAAGCACAAGAAAACCAAAAAGTGCCAAAGATGCTTAGTGTAAGTTCGTTATGATTTTATGATGCAAGAAAACATCATAAAATTATAATCTAAGTATTTCTAATGACAAGATTGGAAAAAGAAAAGGTATTGGAAATAATTTATTACGACGTGGAGGACGGCTTCGGTTCGGTGAGGGACTTATACGAAAAGGCTAGGAAAGTCGATGCGGGCATAACTTTGGATATGGTTTCTACATGGATAAGGGCACAACCGAACAAGCAAACAAGAAACTACAAGAACTACAATTCCTACGCTGCTCCGTTTCCCAAGTATGAATTCCAAATTGACTTGATGGATGTTACCAGTTTGTTGCGAGACGTAGGTTCTAAAATCAAAAGTCAACTACGATATGGTTTAATATGTATAGATATTTTCAGCAAAAAATGTCACATAGTCCCTATCGAGAATAAAGATGGTGATGACGTTTATAAAGCAGTCATGGAGTGTTTCAAGGTATTAGGTCAGCCTTTGTCGATTTACAGCGACGACCAAGGAGCGTTGAACAGCAAGAAACTGCAAACATTCTTTAAGGAGGAAGGTATAACACATGTAATAACAAAGACGCATGCAAATCAGGCAATAATCAGGCAGAAAGGATGATACGCACCATCAAAAAAATGATTGGGGACAGATTGAGGCATTACAAAACCAAAACATGGATGGAAGTGCTAAAGCCCTCGTTGAATAGATACAACAACCAAATCCACAGTAGCACCAAGACAACACCAAACAATGCGCACAATCTTGATAACGTAATTCAGGTCAGAACAAATCTGATACTGAAAGAAAAGCACAACAGAAAATATCCAAACATAAGTGAGGGAGATTATGTTAAGATATTTGATAAAGGAAAGGGCAACTATGTATCAAGGAAAGAAACCAGAAGTCAATGGAGTGAAAGAAAGTATAAAGTAATAATAGTTGGTCGTGATATGATGAATAATAGATATTATAAATTGGATGGCATGAGAAAAATATAATAGGCATGAATTACTATTGGTTGATTAGTAGCTGTTTTTCTTTCTTCTGTTTTCGCCTTTCTCTTTTTTTGCATTTATTTTATCTTTGTCTCTTTTGTATCTTTCTCTTTGTGTTTGTCTCATTGCTTCTTTGTTTCCTTCTCTATATCTTTAGTTCTTGTCATCATATTTATTTTCTTGTATTTTATTTTCTTGTATTTTATTTTCTTGTATTTTATTGTTCTTGTATCTAGACCAAGTGTTTCTTCTTTCTTGTATTTTATTTTTATTGTTCTCATGATGCTGTTTGTTTTTTCTTTGTATTTTTCAGTTTTCTCTATGTTTAATATTTTTTACTGTTCAAGGTGATGCTCTCTTGTGGCATCGCAATATTCCTTTCTAGTCCTACCAACAATACATTTGCTAAGACAGTTCTTATCATTTTCAATATTTTCACCTTCTTTCTTTTCGGGTTGCTTTCTGTTTTGGCATGGGTATTCTTCAATAAGAACTATTTTATGGTTTTCAACATCGAACTCATCAAACGATTTCATAGAGTTGGGACGGTGTGTTTGGGGATTTATATTGTTTATATAGATAAGATTTATAATCTCTTCTATGTCTTGCCATTCTTTGAATTAGTTATTCAGTTGTTGAATTTATATCCATATATGTTAAATCATCTTTTCGTTACGTAGATATTTTATGGCATAATGTCCAAATGGGAGACTCTCAAAATCTGAATACCAGTAGCGTGTATTATCGTAGTTGCTTAAAGCAAATTTAGTCTGATTAATGCTATAGATTTGATGGTTCTTACTTCTGATAGTGTTGAAACTGACTTCTTCTTTACAGTTTCTATTCAATGTCTCTTCATAAGTTTTGTAACTTAACTGATTGCTCACTTTATGCTTGACTACTCCTTTACTCTTCTTGTGTTCTTTCTCATCACCATATACTTTATAGCAATATGCTTTTGGTTTTAATCCTATAACGTGAGTAATCATTTTACGGTTAATTTCATCCTTGAATTTTCCTAATACCTTCTTATTTGTTTTATCATAGTTTGGATGCTCTTGTGGATAATCACTAAAATCCATATATTCATTAATTTCCTTGAAGTCTTCATATAAGTCATCAGTCTCAACTTTTATTACATAACTATCAGTATCAGTATATACTAATTTGATATTATCTTTATATTTTGGTTTCATTACATCATAGTAGAAGGAATACATGTGAATTTTAGAATAGTCTAAAATAGACATACCCATATAAATAGGTTTGTTTAGTTCCACTGTGTGCTTATCGTTTTCAACAATTACGAGGTCTTCATTTATAATATGTCTGTGTTTGAATAGTGGTTTATTTACCAGTTTTTGGAAGCGTTCAGGCGTATTGACAATTTCAAAATCACCATCCTTTCTTACATTCTCCATGGTCTTGCCGTATACGCTATTATTCATTAACTTAAACAAATCTTTTTCAAAGTCATTGTTGGCATTCTTTCTCTTTTCAGTGTTGAATTCAATGAATGGTTTCAAGAAGTTTGCTTGTTTGAAACTTATTGCTCTATGGACTTTTTTAAGACGTAATCCGTGTTGCAGATAGAATTTCAATGCTGATATGTGCAAAACATACTTCTTTTTATCCATTACATTTAATACTAACTTATTTGTCTTTTCATCACTGGCATCTTTTCCATAAAAGTATTTATGTATATCCTTCTGGACTTTTGAAAGCATATTCTCATTGATACTCATGATTTCAGGTGCTAATGGATAGTCTTTATGTAAATCATGTAGTTCTTTTGGATAATCTGAATCAACTTCTAATATGTATCCTATGTCATCATCATCATCACAATATTTCAATACTCTCTTTTTATCCATT